GGTGCAGGTGTAGGTGTCTGTGTCTGAATCTGTGGGATATTTCAGGGTCAGACTGAGGTCTCCAGCCTTCAGCGGGCGTTTCTTCATCTCTGTCCGCTGTCTGTAAAACCAGTGCTGCTCGTCATGCTGGTCGGAGGAGTTCTCAAACAGGTGGATTGTCTTGTCTTTACTGTTGCTCCACTCCACTTTAGCATCTTCAGGCAGGTGAGTTATAGTTTTGCATGGCAGTTGGACAGCATTCACCTCTGCATCCACCTCCACCTGGTACACTGACAGAAAAGCAAACCACAGAATCAGCTTTGCAGGCAGCAGATGGTATCATGAGCCCCCATCAATCAGCTCTATAGTCTTCAAAGGCTTTACCCCTGAACTCATCCACAGGATGTCAAATGGTTCCTCATAGCCACACAGCAGTGCCATGATAAACCAGGTAACAGCAGTCACATATAGAAGCTTTCAACATACCCCCAGTATTACATTTAAAAGCACTGGGTGGACATCATTGTACTGGGAGTTAAGGGGCCAATTTTAAAACTAACCTACACCAAGGTAGTTTTTAGCGCCAATGCTAAGCAGCAAGTGAAAACTAATAGAAATGATGTTTGTTTGTTAACATTTTTACTGCTACCACACCTTTAATGATTAAAACAAAAAGCCCTGCGACAGGCTGGAGATCTGTCCAGGTGTACCCCGCCTCTCACCCTGCAGTACAGGCAGAACAGACTGAACGGGCCCCTTTGCAGTTTTCACCTCAACCAGACCCTTTGGTTGGCATCAACAAGCTTCAGGCATGATTCTGGCTGACCCCTCTTTTTTATGCTACCTGGGTGTTAAAGCATTGTTTTGGTTTTTGGACTTTGGACCCTGTTTATTATTGTAGTAACCTACGTCTCTTAGTCTTTATCTGATGTTGCTTCATTTTCCTGTGGCTGGTCTCTGTCTGTTTCCTGTTTTATTGTGATAGTGCCGTGTCCCATGTACGGTATGTTTAGTTTTGCTTCCCTGTTTCATTATGGTAAATGGTAAATCACACTTTTTGGTGACAGCTACATTGTAGCCACAGCTGCCTGGGGCGCACTGAGTCACATTCATTCCAGTTGTGTGTTCACCTGTTACCCAGCCTCTCCTTATCCTGCATATATTTCTGTCTTCTACACCTTTCAGCTCTGTCTCAGTTGTTCAGGATTCTGAACTCTTCACGTTTCTGTTTTTTGTGAGCTGCAGTCATGTTGAGCGTCAGCACACCATCAGTGTTGTGGTCTGGCAGGTTCTGCTGGGCTGTTTTTCTTGTTTGTTTTCTTTCCCTTTTTCTAACTCGCTCTCTTTACAATCATTATCAGGTGGAGCTGCTGAGCTGGCATGAAGCTTTGGATGGAGGTTTCCTGACAGTTCCTTCTTTCCCTCCTGCACCTGTTCCTGATCACAGTTAAGTGAGCAGTTATTATTGAGTGGTGCTGCAGCTCTCTCCAAGTTTATCTTTGCTGCACTGGTGACAGTCAGGTCCCTCGTCTTTCTGTTTGACCTTAGTCACTGGCTCTTACTTTACATTTCTGTTTTCCTGCAGTATCCTGTTTGAACCTTCTGTGGAAGTTTGATTTGCTCAAGTCTCGACCCTTTTGTGGACTTTGAACTCTGCTGAAATCTGCAAAGGAACTCATTCACCTACCAGCCATCAGCCAGCTCCAACCTGGCATCCCTGAACAACTGCTTGTTGGACTAGTAACCCTCCCAAGTTCTCATTCGACTTTCCAACATAGCTCCTACACTCTGCATCATGCTCCAATCATCTTGAGACCTTTATTAACATTCGATCTCTTCTCTGGCAGAGCCACCTTTTGCCCAGCAGCTGCTTTCTCGCTCCTCTCCACAGTTGCCTTCTCCCAGTGGTTCCCAATCTTTTTTGTTAGCCCACCTTTGTTTTACAAGAAAAATCTTACATGAGAGGAATTTCTACAATGACAGATAGAGACAAAATACTGTTAATCTGACTATCTTCAGGTTTTACACGCTTACATACACAAACACAGTTATTGTCCCTCCATTTACAAAGGCAGAGGCGTCACGGTGTGATTATTTTACTGTAGTTGTTTTTTTCCTGTGTAATAATATTCAACATTGCATCAATGCATTTTTCAAAAATGTCTCTCTGTGCAAAATGGGTTTAAAAACATAAACAGCTGTGGGATCCTGTTTGTCTGTGATTTAAACAGCCCAGCGCTGCTCCCAAGGCAGGGAAACCAATCCTGCAGGGAGACCTACCTCTGCACTTGTGCAGGTGAAGCCAAAGGAAGATTTGCTTCACCATATTTTCTAGTCTTTGGCTCAGAATGAAGTTGGTTTGGAAACATATTCAGCGATGCTTCATCTCCTGCTTTGCGTTTGTGTGGGTGCCTGTGCTAGCAGTGTCCAAGCATTGTTTGTTTGTTTTTTTCTTTTCATACCGCACGCCCCCTGCAATGGCTCTATACCCTCACTAGGGGGCGGGCCCCACACTTATCCTTCACCTTCAGTAACACATTTAAACCTGCCAACAACAATCTGAGTCCACTCCTTGAATTCAATTTGAATCACACTATGACAATTGGAGAATTTTTACCATCATCCTGGATGGTGATGGAGACTCACCTGACATTAAATAGAGACGGAAATAAAATAAGAGACCCCCAGAAACAATGACAGTGGTGAGAACCAGGAGAACCAGCAGAACCTTAGACCAAGCTGGGAATCGTTCTGTGGAGAAACAGAAAGAACGTCATGACCTCTGACCTCTGACCTGTATCTATAGAGGATTGTTTCTGACCTTTGACCTGCAGCTGTATGTTATTCAGTGTCAGGTCTTGTGTCCCATCACTGATGGTGCAGGTGTAGTTGCCGCTGTCAGTGAGCTGGGGCTTTCTCAGAGTCAGGCTGTAGTCTCCAGTATCCAGGGCATCAGGCCTTATCGACGTCCGCCCGCTGTACTGCTGGTTTTGGCCATGGAGGTCATCTTCTTCTCTTCTCCGGTGGACAGTTTTGGGATTGAGGTCAAAGCGACTCCAGATCACTGTGGGATCGTCCTCAGGTATGATACCAAAGTACTGGCAGGGCAGCACGACAGCCTCCACCTCCTCGTATACCTCCAACACTGCAGCACCCTGGGAAACTGCACACCAACACAAATCAATCGTATGATGTAGGTTTCTGTCAGTCTGCCCCAGCTGTGGCTACACCTGTAGCTTTCCTCCACCAGTGTGTGAATGTGAGAGTGAATGAATAGTGGAATTGTAAAGCGCTTTGAGGAAAAGTGCTATATGATGTTGGTCCATCACAGTTCACCTGAGAAACTACAAAACACCCACAGTGATGTTTGGAGGTGACAACGTGATAGCGTGTGGCTGTTTTTCAGAACATGGCACTGACCATTTCATATCATTGAAGGAAGGATGAATGGACAAATGTTCTGAGACATTCTTGATAAAAACCTGCTGCCATCTACCAGGATGATAAAGATGAAACGAGGGTGGAGTTTCGGTAAGAGGATGATCCCAAACACAGCAGAGGAAACATTCAGCTGGTTTCAGAGAACGAAATTAAAGCTGCTGGAACGGCCCAGCCAGTCGCCTGACCCAACTCTTGGACGCTGGTCACTTTGGGTTATTGGCCCCCTCGACACATCCACAGAACCTTCAGACTGTTTGTGTGGGAGATTGGGTCAAAATCACACCTGAGCAACACATGTGACGAGTTTCTCCATACAGGAGGTGTCATGAAGCTGAAACACAGACCACGGCTTTTGTATGAAGTATTAAATTCATTTAAGTATGTGTGAGCGATACTTTCCCCCGTGTCATTTCTTATTATCACACATAACTTAATTTTTATGGACATCTATGGTTTGATTTCTTTGAATGTAGACTGGATGGACTGTTACCAACATCTGGAGAGAATTTCATGTCAACTGCACCTTTATAAATATATTTACTTAGAAAATTGGTGGCATATTCAATACTTTTACCCGCTGTAGTTCATCATGGCCTCAGTCGTTCAAACAAGGTAACTTGTTTGAACGACTGCCGTGTCACTAATCAGGGGGAAACAGTTGACTAGGGAGGAAAACCTGACCGGCAGGTGAGCTGGACAGGTTTATACAGCTAATTATCATCGACATAAAATTATAGGAAATGATAAATGGACTGATTCTTTTGTACTGCTTTTCTACTGTGACACTCAAAGTCATCATCAGGTCTCATTACTTCATTCACACGAGCATGTTTTTGTACACTGAGGTCAACCAGAATGAGTACAGAGCAATGTCTTACATCAGTAGCCATGCTGTTAATACCATCAAAAAATACCCTTCTCCTTACAATTTGTGAGATTGTTGATGTCTATAAATGGTTTCCATATTTGTATTGACATTTTTGTTTATAACTCTTCAAAATAAAGCCTGAAAAGGTTACAGCAGCATTATTTTAATATGTTGAGTCCTCTTTGTTACAAAAGTGCAAGGGTGTGTGAAAAATGAGTGAAGAATTTGAGGATCATAAATATTTAAAAAGCAAGGACTAAAGTAATGACATCTGACTGAGGTCAGGTGGAGGGAGGACAGCTTACCCTGCAGGAGGATCACAAACACAGCAAACATCTTCATCTTCCTCTCAGCTTCTTACTGAGCTCACTCTTCTAAAGCACGTCGACAGCAGGAGCTCACGGACGTTTCTCTGGATGAATCTGCTCAAACTCATGTAGTTTCACTTTGAACTGTTTCCAGTGAAGCAGCAGCTGGAATGCAAAGAAACCAGCTGAGCAGCTTTGTTCACTCCTCTGAGAAATACGGTGCTGAATAACACAAGTGATGTTTCATTGATCTTCTCTGCACTAGACTGAATCATTAGTAACACAGAGGTGTGGAGTACGTCTCTGTGCTCAGGTAGACTTAGTTCATGTATGGCTCTGTCTATAACTCTGGTGTTTGAGGTACAGTATACTGAAGTATGTTCAGACAAACAAACTGTCACGATGAGCTGTGCGGCTGGACCCAAGTGCAGGACTCCAAGACAAAACATTAACTTAAGACGGCAGCTTCATTTGCTGGTAAGACAAACTTGACAATACAACAAACAAAAACTCGAACTAGGATAGTTTAACTAGACCGGGATTCACACACAACTAACGTGGACGCAACGACTGGATGGAGACAAAAAACAGGGCTTAGATACATACGGAGGTGATTAGGGAATGAGAAACAGGAGGAGAGCACAGCTGGGAGTCATCTGACATGACAAGACAAAGGGGAGGCAAAACTCAACACACTGACATAGACACAGACTTTCAAAGTAAAACAGGAAACAGACGGACTTGACTAGAGGATACAGTTAACAGAGAACAAAGGGACACACTGGCACAAGACATGCTAAGGAACGAAGGAGCTGGGAATACTAGAGACGGAAATCAAAACCAAGAGAAACAAAACACATCATGAAATCAAGGATAACAAAAACAAACAGAAAAACATTTGAGTCCACAGACCGTGACACAAACACTCCATGACAGGGAAGTGATCGTCTAAAGAAAGGAGATGGTGATGTGAAGAATAGATCTAAGTACGTTACACTGTGATTGGATCAGGTCGCACACAGTCATTCAAACACACCTCTGTGTGTGTTATTAATGAGTCAGAGAATCTGGATTAATACACTGAGTCTAGTAATCAATGACACGTGTGCTGCAAGCAGGTGAAATACAGTTACTGGTGTTTTTATTAGAAGAATCAAGGAAGAATTCAAGCCGACACATTTTGTCCTTATTTTATTTTTATCTTTATTTGGTCCACATTTTCTACATGTTGTATATTAATACACTGTATGAATAAACAACATGTATTGTCCTCATATGATGGATTACACGACGGTCTTTTCCTGTTTCATATGTTCGGCTATGTCCTCTCTATTTTTGGTAATTTCAAACAAACCCAAACAAAACA